TGCTGATCATTCGCTCTAGCTTCGATTCTTCAATCATCTTATCCATCCCTTCTTTGACGGACTCTCTGATCATCTCTTGAATCGACGTCTTCTTCATCACTCCTTCGATCTCTTTTCCTAAATCCTAAGCAAACGAACAAAGTTTCTTATTCAATAAAGGGTAGATCTGACAGGCAAGAGTTAAATTTATACCTTCTTCAAGCCTTCCTGAACAGCAAGTCGAACTCCATCAATGATCTTCAGATCAGAATCCGATGGTTCCCGATTCTGATTCGGATTACGATCCCGATCCCGATGATTATCATTAACCGCAAGGGTGGCTTTGACTTGCTCCTTGACGATCTGACCTAAATTCTTTGAACTTAAACTAGTCGAAAGGATATTCAGAAGATGTTCATGACGACGAGTTTCTATCTCTTGTTGAGCCAAGAATTGGTTCCTTAATTTCTGCTCTAAGATCCTCCCCCAGAATACACACACACACACACAAATCAATTTAGTTTGTCAAGTGAGTAGAAGAGAGCAAAAGGGGGTTGGGGGTTGTTGTTTTTCTTACCTTGTTTATCTAAACTCTTTCCTAATAAATGATGGACTTGTTCGATGACCGAAGTCCGATTTTTTTCCAATTCTTTATAAAAAAGAGAGCCATCAAATGAAGGAGGAGCTTTTTGATCGACCGGGGCAGAATTAGATGAAGAAGAAGGAGGAGGGACACTGAGGGAAGGATGAAGAGAGGCAGAAGAAGTAGATTGATGATGAGTTGATCGACGAGGTTTAAGGTCTTGTTTTGATGAGGTCGAAGGAGGTATAGGTTTCTTCGAGTCAAGGTTAGATGAGTCGACTGGATTAGCAGTGACTGATGGGGGGAGGGGTTTCGATTTCGGATCGTCGTCGGAAAAGTCAAGGACCTCAGCCTTTTGGACTTGATGTTCGACATGAACATCGACGAGGATTTCGCCAGCAAGAGATCGACTTCGAGTTGGAGGAACAGCCAGTTGAGAGGGATTAGGTTGTTGATCGGATTGAGTTTGGAAGTCGATGAGATCTTTGGGAAGATAGAGTTGATGGATACCTTTTGGATGGAGGTTGAAGACGGAGACTGGAGAGGAGGAGGGGCCGGGGGGAGGTCTCATGCCTTGATCGAGAACGAAGGAGATGATAGGGTCGGGAGAAGGGACTTCAGAGATCTGGTCAACGAACATCGTCCTAGAGGCGATCCAAGAGTTCGAACGACTACGTTGCATCTGAGAGGATTGACGAGTCGCGGCAACCCGTTCGATGTAGCTGGCATCGTCGTCCGATGGTTGTGTGCCTGCGCCGAGACGAGGGCCTTCGGAGTGGCCTGGCTTGAGAAGCAAGAGCTCGTCGTCGGCCGACGAATTCTCACAAAAGTTGAGGTGGAAGGCGAAGATCGAGCCCCGAAGAGAGTTGGAAAGGAGGACGGTACTGTACTGAGCCTGCCAGGCGGAGTGGCCGAAGCAGGGCAGAAGGGGCAGGTCGTCGACCGGCTCCGGTGGATGCAGAGTGATCCCAATGACCACCTCCGAGATTTCGCTCAACTGGACCGCCTCCACCCTGGTCCCAAATCGCTTGGTGATCAGAAATCCTTTGATGACTCCCGCCGATGTTGCCAGGAACTCTAAACGTGTGATCGATCCATGGCTCGATGGCAGTTGGCCACCCATGATCGTCCAGTGCGGTTTGGAGGTCTGTCGTACTGTCAGCATCTTATCTTCCGTCACGAATGCAAACGCAGATCCATCCGGACTGAAGGCAAATGCGACCACCTGTGTAGATAATGGCCCGATCAGTAAGATTTTTTAAGAGGCAAGAAAACAGGTGTGAAGACTCACATCAGAATTAGTGCGCAGGACGTCTTGACCTTCGAAAGCTTCGAGTTCTGAGAGGGATTTACCCAGAGGAGTACCACGTTTCCAAGAGGCAGCAAAAGCGCCACGATCGAGTCTGACGAGGATCAACCGATGATCATTAGTGGAAAGGAGGAAGATACTAGGATCGTGAGGGTGCCATCTGATAGTAGAGAATCTAAGATGACTGGGAGCTTGTAGGAGTTCTTTCTCCGGACCGAGTAAGAGGTCTGAGTTAACTGAGAGGATGTCGGCCAAGATCTCATAGTTGGCTGTATCTTCATCAAATCTTACGGGGACTTTCCAGATCACTAATCTTCCATCTGATCCAGCACTAGCAATACATCTCCACCTCCGACTGCTGGTCGTATTGCTATTGAGATCGCCAACCACTGCCCTAGGTCTTCCGATGCACATATCTAGAACGGGGCCTTCGTGTTTCCTTAGTAACATTCTTGCCCCACTGTTCTGATCGATGACTCTGATCCGACCAGCCTTGGTAGCATAACTAATGAATCCGTCGACGGCGACCCTATTACCTGGGGAAAAGACCATGCTCGAGGGGAAGAGTGTGATCGGTAGGACGTGTGGGGCTGGTTCGGCTGTGTAGAGGATCTCGGGATTGGCTTGGCCGGTAGAGATGGCCAGTTCTTGCGGTGGGAAACTGGAGTTGATCCTCAGTCCGACGTTTGACTTGGGTTGTTTCTCCTTGTTTTCTGTGGTTGAACGATGAGGGTGTGGGGATGCGAGGATGGATGGATGATGGTTGTCATTGTTCTGGATGGGTTCGGATGAGGTGGCTTGGGTTTGTGATTGGGGTGATTCGGCTGAGAATGGGTTGAAGAAGGTGGTGGGCGTGTTCTTGATCTGGTCGATGAGATGGATGGCCATGTATTTATGGATCCTGATCTCCTCCGAGTTTTCCTCTGTTGTGGGCTTGATGGTTTTCTCCTGGTTAGAAGGAGGTTGTTGTTGTTCGGTTGGGATTGCCTTTGAGCTCGTACTGGTGCTGGTATTGGCTGGTTGAGTGTTAGTTTTGGGTGAGAGTGGTTGGTTGTCGAGTGAGGGTAGTTGGTTGATGGCTTGCATGGTGGCAGTGGTGATTGGTTTCAGGGATCTTGTTGGTTTTGGTGTTGATGTTGTTGGTTGTAGTTGGTTGTAGTCAGTTGTTGATGTTGTTGTTGTGGGTGTGTTGAGGGTATGGTTGTGTTGTGATGGTGTGAGTGAGGTATTGGTGAGTGAGGGTGTGTTGAGTAGTAGTTGGTCGACCTGAGTGAGGATATGGTGGAGTGAGAGATCGGCGAGAGACATGATGATGATGATGATGATGATGATGGAGAGTGGAGAGTGCTTACGAGTGTGACAGATACGATGTTATCCAAGACAGATACATATTTATATCGGCTGAGGGTCAAAGATGAGGTTTGGGTTAGTGTTGAGTCTGTTTTGTTTTGTTTGGATGCTACCAACTTACTCACAGGATGATGATGTTGATCAATTTGGTGTTTGGGTTTGGAGTGATGGTCAGTTGATTATCAAGTTAGATGATTAGGAAGTCAATACTGACGATGTTTCCATTTGTTGTTGTTGTTGTTCTTCTGTTTCTAGTTTTGGTTTTGGGGTGAAGTTGAGGTGGAGTAGTTCTAGTAAGGATAGCTGTTGTTGCTGTTGTTGTTGTTGTTCTGCCATCTTGAAGTTCTCTGTGGAGTGGTTCTTTCTTAGTAGTTGGTTCCACTGAGAATCTGAGATGAGGCTGTGTGGTAGTGTCAAGTCACCCGAACTCATCAAATTCAAAAAGACCACCTTTGAAGATCCCAAGAAGGGGTCTCACCTCTCTGATCACCAATCAGAGTCCAGACCAGAAAAAACGATCGAAAATGGGATCGTCAAGGAATCGGATTACATAAACACATCATCACCACTCAAACGAATCAAATTCAAGGGCAATATGAATGAAACAAATTGTCTCAGATAAAGGGGAAAAAAAATAGTGTTGTGTTGCATTGATTGTCATTGGACCGAGAATCAGCACATGAAAAGTAGCCAAGCTTGCCTAGATTTTCTGATAGTATGTAAGTAGAAAGAGCGATGATGATCATAGACAAACTTGGCCAATTACAGATCTCAGTCCAGACACACCCCAAACAGATCAATAACTTCAGCCACCCCAATATAGTGTGCTTATTCAAATGAAGGTCGAATAAAAGGACAAAAATCGGGGGGGAAAGGAAAAGGAATGTAATGTATGGTAATGATATATAAGATCAACATCAAAATTCTAGAGGAGATATTCAGAAGATAAAAAAAGCTAGTTCTTCTTCTGCTTGCTCTACGTTGCTGTAAAGACTAAAAGAAGAAAGGAAAAAGGTAAGCATATTCATTTGAGAAGATACATACATAGACCAAAAAAAAAACACGCATATATATGTATTTTTTTTTTAAAAAAAAACGATAAGTGAATTATGTATATTGTTGAGAGAGAGAGAGAGAAGATCTTCTATACATATTTGTCTGTATAGGGGTTTTTTTTGGAGGGGGGGGGGAGATAGATGGAAGAAAAGTATTAGGAAAGATTCGAAGGAGGTGATGATGGTGTAGAAGGAGAAGCAGAAGAGGAAGAAGGATGAGGCAGTGGAATCAAATGACCTAAAGAAACCAAAAAAGAAAATGCTCAGTCAACAGATGAGGCCATTCAGAAAAAGAAAACACGCACGCATTCGATTGACTTTAGTACGCAAGTAGATATCTAATTCGCTTTCAGAGTGAATGAGGTCAGAAGAAGGGAGCTTAGGATGAGCAGAGGACTGGTTTTGGATTTGTCCGTCCAACGAGATCAAGGGCTCGAGCTGATGGCTGTAAGCTCTCGAGATCCTTTTCTGGTCTTGGAGGGAGATAGATTGCCATTGTCTAGGGATCATTGGGATCCGTTCGAGGATTTTAATCTCCGGGGAAGGAGAAGAAGAAGAAGAATTGACAGTCGAGGAAGAAGAAGAAGAAGACGACGACGACGACGACGAGAGGGTGAGGGCCTCGATCTTGTTTGGATTGTTCGTCATCAGCCGGATTTGGTGCAGTTTGAGATCGGAGAGGATCTGATAGGCGACCTCATAGTCCCTCAAGTCAGGGCCAAAGCCGAGCAAGAGATTAGACTCGAGCGTATCGAAGCCTAGCTCTTGGAGATTGTACGCCTTAATCTTATTCAACAAGCCGATCCCTCTGCCCTCCTGACGGAGATAGATCACTGCGCCTTTATAAGGAGGCGTCGAGAAGATGTGGCGGATCGATTCGGAGAGTTGTTCGCCGCAGTCACAGCGTTGAGAGCCGATGGTCTCGCCGGTGAAGCATTCGCTATGGATCCGGACGATCGGCACTTGGCTGAGATTGTCCAGCTCACCACCATTCGCCCGGTCTTCTTCTGGATCCTTCTTCTTCTTCTGTGGCTCCGATGGAGAGGGGTCCGTCGGCCGATAGAAGGTCTCGATCTGGCGCTCGTTCTTGTCCAGTCTGCCCACATAAGCCCCACGGATCAGCCGCTCGATCTCCGTCTCTTCCTCGCTCCAGACCTCATCCAAACTGCTCGATCGGATCCAGCGTCTCGAGTTATCCTTGCTCGTCGGATTCATCATCTGTTCCTCATCGATCACAAACGCTAGATGCTCCTTTTGGTCCCGGTTGTTGGTATAAAGATGCAGCCAGAGCTGGCCGTCTGGAGTCGGAATCCTCGTCCGGGCTTGGCACTTCACACTCAACGGACTGCCATCTTTCTTGGCGCTTGTTGTGGTAGATGACTTCTTTTGGGCTCCGACTAGACTTTCTTCTGTTTGGGGAAGCGAGTGTCGCAGTTGATGGATACACTCTTGGATCGTCGGTTTGTGGAGTCCGGGGAGGATTCGAGTGGGTGAGGAGCGGGGTGATGAAGATGGAGATTGAGAGAATGTGGAACAAGTCGAGGTGGATTCGATATCACTTTGATGGTTTTGTTGTTGTTTCTGTCGAGGTTGATATTGAGAGTGGTACTGATGAAGATAATGGTTCCTGGTTTGACTGGTCCACAGAGCAGATTAAAAAAACAGGATCAATAATCTTGCATCCAAGTTGAATGAGGATATATAGAGTAGTAGATGAGACTGACGCTGGACTGCTGAGGGCAGCGGTTTCCAGGATGAGTGGGTCCAGTCGAGGTCTCCTATCCGAGAACTTTCCAGAGTAAGACGACGAGTTCTTGGTGAGCAACGATAGGATTGACAGATCTCCTGCAGTCTGGATAGCAAAAAAACAACAACAGTCAACGGTTTGATCTTTGGGGTTGTTGTTTACTAGATGATGATTCACTGCTTACTATCGGTTGATGGTGGTGTTCGGTTTGGTGTGGTAAACAGGCGACGGTCATGGTGGGTGATGAATTTTGAATTTTAGGTTGAAGTGGTGATGATGATAGAGGAAGGAGCGAAGGAGGACTGCAGAGGGAGGAGGATAAATAGATGGAAAACCGAGCAGCTTACATAAGCAACTACCCCAGCGAAAAAAACCGAAAAACGAAAAACATAGCACAGCACCAGGATCAGTCGAAAGTGAGATTCTGAAAACAGCCGAGGAACGAAAGAATCACAGCCAGGAGTTTCAAGAACAAAAAAAAGGAGCAGCCCAACACATGTCTCCCTCTGAAGCATGAAGATACGGCCAAGCCTAAAGAAAGAAAGCAAGACCAACAAGCTATTCACAAAGCCATCAAACTTACTCGGATTGGAAACTCGACTTGGCTAAAGCAAGCGCATCCAGTTGAATAGTCCATCAAGCTCATGCTGGACTCATTTTATAGAAGCTGTACCTGTTGCACACAGGGACAAGAAAAAATAACAATAACCCATCTTGATCTGTCTCTGTTGGATCGAGCACCACAGCTCCACTCTTGCAGCTCCTAGGCTCGGGCCGGGGCATGGACGTCATCCTGAAGCACAAAGCCCCGGGCCAGGCGGGGTTCAAGGTATGCCCCGGGTGATTTTTGATATGTTCAACATTCTCTAACCATCAAAAACTTTCCCCATCGTGTCCAAGATGGTGCATACATAGTATGTGCAAACCATTCTGGCTATGTACTCCAGCAACAAGCACTGCATCCCAACAAGTGTTTTCTAAACTCTCTTGGCAGTGATCTGACTTGAAGCCAAAGCCTATTGAATGAATTTTGTGCCCCTGGGAATGGTACCGAACCACTGATGACTGAATGTAGTTTTCTTTTTACCTTCTTCTCATAATTCTCTGGATTCTTCTTGGCTGGACTTTTGTCTTTGTTTCTTCCATTGCAACTGGTCTCTTATTTGTTTTCTCATCAAAGTCACAAAAAACTTCATCTAACGCAATGTAAACTGTCAATCATATTGCTTACCATGACCTCTTAGTGTATAATACAGCTATTGGAAATTTATTGAAAGTGAAACAATAAGTAAAAAAAAAAAAACTCAATTTTTGATCCTTCCTATCAGGCCTCTGATGCCCCTGGTACACCGGGGACATTGGAATCAAGCTCCAATTACCAGAACCAGGGGTCACATCCTGTGAAATGCCCCAGGGTGTGCTGTTTGGGTTACAGCCCTACTCCTAGCTTAACTCTAACCTAACAAACAAAAATCAAAAGTTAGACTAAAAAAAATCAAGTGCGGGATGATCTCACATGCCAGGTCTTTGTAGGAAGACAGCAGAAATCAAGATAACATCAATTCTGATCTTACAAACAAGACAATCCAGATTTTGGACACCCAAAATGTTATACATTTTGAGATGCAAATCCTAATAATTGGATTTGAGATTTATCAACCCTAACCCAATTATTAGACAACCATTGTGGAAAGAAGGGCATATCCATGGAGATTTCATTGACCTTCTTTGCTCTGAATTTCTGAAACACTATCTTTCTTCAATTTGCTGTCTGGGGTGACTTGCTTGATGATCTAGTTGGTAAGGTAAACTAGTTATTGCTATCTTAATACTCCGCTCTTGACTCTAACTATGAATTTAACTTCTACTTAGGCTAATAACACTACTACTC